ATTAAGTGACTTACATTGTCTGACTATAACACTATTGTCTGATTTTGCTCTATTTCGTCGTCGAAAATAGTTTAAAACTAAGTCACAGCTCAGCCGCTGCGCATCTCCATTCAAACACAGCAGTGATTCGTTTATGAATGAACTGTTTTTGAACGAATCTAGTGAGTCAGTGACTAATGATTACCCATTCATAAATACTGTCACTTGCTTCATTCCTGAATGATTCAGCCGATCGAATGAATCAATTGAATGAATGATTCAGTGATAAATCAGTGACTTGTCGCCACCTGCTGGCGGATTGTTTCATTTTTAAAGTATCTTTTCAGTTCTTTAAATCATTTAATATTTCTATATTCAACTTTTTTTAAAAACATTAATCTTTCAATCATTAAATTCATTAATAAACATGAATTTATGGATTTAATTGCACTCATGCCACCGCTGATCCTCATTAAATGTCTGAAAATACACCTACAAGCCACTTTGTGCTACCTCTGTACAAATTAATTTGAATACGGATTTCATTTGATTAGTAACTTCTTATTCTACGGTTGTATCTAGAATTTTTAAAAAGCTTATAATTTTTTTTTAAATTTATTAAAAGTATGTCATCTTTTCTCAAAGATAGAAACATGCCATTACAAAGGTAAAAACAAAATTCATTTTAAGGAGTGAAATATCACCTCGTAATGGGAAGGCTGTTTTTTTTATATCAAATTTTGGTGCTCCTAAAAAGAAAAATAAGCGTAGAGCCCTGGATCTTATGACACCATGACTAAAGGGAAAAAATAATTATATATATATATATATATATATATACACATACACACACACACATACATATAAGTGCAAGACAGGTCAGACTTAATGGTATATATAACAAGCAAAAGTGCTGTGATCAGCATACATTATCATTATATGGAAAAGAGCAGCTTTGACATTTGAACAATAATAGCTTGTGTTATACAGGAAAAACCGAACCACAATGTAGAAGTAAAATAATTGTAAAAAGAAAAAGGGAGGGAGGAAATGGACAAAAACAAGCAGCAGCCATTGTAAATTGAGTTTTAGTTCTTGATATTAGAAAGTAAAGCTCCTTAAGTATTTGGTGTAGGTTAATAACTAAAACATGCAATACAAAAGCTTTAGTGTGGCACTGACGGCATCAAATCCAGTGAGCTACAGTAAATTTACTAGCTTGGACAAACAGTCACAAAATGGAATAAATATAGCATTTTCACACAATTATAAATTCAAGGAAAAACACTTCAGAAAGATACTTAAAAAAAAAGTACCTTAGCTTTACTCCATAAGACACTCCCTGAATCTGTCGCTTGCAGAACAGGAGAAAAATTATAAATTGACTTCATTCAGAAAGACATCACAAGTCAATATGCCTAAAAGCCTTTTATTTTTTTATTGTAGTTGCTGACTGCAACACAATGGATTTAAATTAGAGATGCACCGATTGATCGCCCAGGGATCGGAATCGGACGATCATTCTCGCTTCTTTCCGATTCCGAGCCGATCCGTTTTGTTACCAGCGGCACAGGCAATAACATCAGCCGCGCATTCTCGCTCTTCTCTCCGACGACCCCTTCTCTCTCACACACGCGTCTCATTTGCTCCGGTTAAATGCTTGTATTGCGCATTTTAGTAATTCACGCAGGTTTCACGCTTGCACCAAAAGCGCACGCACCAGAACTGATCAATATTAGTGGAACGCACACAAGCCGCACTCAGTCTCAAACAGCTTGTGAGCCACAAATACCAAAATGAGTGGCTAACTGCGCTAAAACGTTCAAATATATACAAAATTGTCAAAATGCCCATCTTGGCGAGTATCCAGTTAAACAGTCAGTTTTGGAACGTTAAAGGGGAGGTTCACGGTTTTTTTTCTAGGCTTGATTGTGTTATGGGGTGCAGTCTAACATGTGTTAACGCTTAGTTAAAAAAAAATATATATAATTTCACAATTTCTTTATTCCACACCGCTCTGTCCCTTCTCTGAGAAACGGGCTGATCTTTTCCGGTTTTTAAGAAGCCCCGCCCTCAGAAATAGGCGATGGGCTCTGATTGGTTAGCTAGCCCAGTGTGTTGTGATTGGATAAACCGCCTCTAGTGCACGTCTAATCGTCCCGCCCCTCACCTCAGCGGCATGTGCTCTGCTTGTATTGTAAACAACGGAGTCGTTAATAATCGCTTAATCAGTTTGAGCCCGATTGAGAAGCAGAGGATATTATTGAAGAGGATAGTGCAGAACCTGTGCAAGCATGGCTTTTAATGGTAGGCCTATGTTTTTTGTTGTCATACTTTTAGATGTGCTGTTATTTGTAAATGCTACTGGTTATGTTAGCTTTTAATATCCGGTTTTATCCTGATTAAAGCTTTAATACAGTACGGCAACTGCACGCACGTCCATGTATAACGCTTCTCATAGCTATGTGAAAATAAG